ATTTAAAAAAATAAGGTTGACCTTGAAATGACCTTAAAGGACATGATCAAGATCAAAGTCGAGGTCATCATCTTACTCCTCGCTTGAAACCATACAACTTTGCTATTGGACATCTTCTCCAAAATGCATTCTAACTGAAGATATTAGGGGGGTCCGATACTTTTCGATGACCCTGTATGTTAGAAGCTCTCGATAGATTAAGGAATTACGTGATATTTAAACACATGTTATTCAGAAATTCAGTCGCGGTATCCTTGTCTTTCACAAGGAAGTAAGTAATCTATTGTTCAAAGGTCCTTTCTTTCATCGAAAGTGTATCCTTCCTTAGTTCACCAAGAGAGAAAGGCGGCATTAATTACGACGCAATACTCCTAGAAAAAGTTGCTCGCTTTCCAAGAGCTTTTGAGAGAAAAAGAGAGAAAGAGAAAGATAGAAAGGCATCTAAATTGAAATATGACCGTAATGCGTACTCGTCGATTATCTTTCCTCAGCAAATCTCTTGTGCAAATGGTTCTTTTATTTGCAGAGTAAAACGTACTTGTTTTTAGCTCTTCGTGATGAAACTGTAAAAATATTATCCCGATGATATATATATATATATATAATACAGAAAATTATATTACATTCCAGGTATTATTTTGTAAATATTAGAAGTGTGATTTAGTTTTGAGAGTTTTGCAAGAGATAGCACTTAATGTCAGTGTTGTTGAAGACTTTCCAATCACAGCTATTATTTCTTAATGCTTTAATATTACTCCATGTTATTTAGTCGTTTACTAACAATAGACGCAGTAAACATCGTGTTTATACCATTTAAAAAATGGAACTTCCTAAAGAGCATTTTTTACATGCATTGCTTTCGTTTTTTAAAGAAAAAACGGCGGTTGGTGGTCATAGAAGTCTGATAGAAACTTATGATGATGTTGCTTCATCAATTAAAACATGTAAATATTGGTTCTATCGATTTAAAAGTGGTGATTTTAATATTAACGACAAAAGCTGGAAAATGCAGATTTACAAGCATTATTGGATGAAAATCCAGCACAAACTCCACTTCAGAACTTGCTAAAGAATTAAATGTTGATTGTACAACAGTTATTAAAGTTTACATGATATATTGTTTAAATAAATCAATTTTTGAGAAAAAATCCTCAAAACTAAATCACACTTCTAATAATTATTTTAATTTTTGAAATAATTTCTAGAAAATATTGTTGCTACAATATTATATAGAATTATCACTTTTATACAAGAAGAAGGATCGACATTCGTAAATATTGTTTGATTCCAAAGTCTTATAGCATTGAAAGCTATTTATGAGATTCATTCTCTGTTGTCTTTGGAATCTATTCTTCTGGTTGAAATATACGTTATTAACGGATTGATTCGATAATAAGACATTGTCGAGAAAATTGCGAAATCGAGTAGTCTTTAAAGATTATTGCAGATTATCTCAATACATTATCTGCACACATATAGATAGAAATCTTATACGTATACATATATGCATATACATATGAGGCTATGCGCGGAAGTCATAGGTCGGGTTTCTGTGCTAAGAAGATTGCGGTTCTGGTGTCAGATTAATTAAATTAACTCGCACAGCTAGGGCTCTAACGAGGTCGCGTTTCTTCGTTGCCATGATACATTGCAATTACCTACATTGTGGAAAATTCAACCGCACACTCGAATTTTATTTATTCTTACGCAACTAGTATCCGCACATATACAGCAGAAGGCAGAGTAAATTATTTTGAAAAACTTAAGTTATATTAACGAAGAACTTCATTCTAAAATAATTACAAGTTATTACGAAGTTCATTAAAAAAATTATTTTTCTCATTATTTCAAAATTAATATGGAAATAACGTGGAATATTACTTTCGCTGCTAATTTTAAAACTAATCTGATATTGCGCGCATCAATTTGGAATGTTAAAATTAGATTATATCGTTTGAGAAATATTTCAATCTCTTTTGTTTTATTGTCAGATTCTTACATTAATTAGTTAGAAAAAAATATGTATAAGACATGGCACCCTTAAATATCAGCCGGGCTCGAATTTTAATCCGAGCTTTAATCCGAGCTTCATTTTAATCTATTGAATTTCATTCTATCGAATCATGCAATATAGAGTAAAACTACTAATTATGGATCACTCTAAAAAAAAATTCATATTTTTATATAAACAATATCAAAATAATATCAAACAATTAATAAAATATTTAATATTTTCATGATTGATCATAAAGATTATGGATGATTTTATTTCATTTCATTCCTGTTTTATATGTTTTAATTTGAATTAGATAAATTAATGACAATTTTCCACAACTGGACTCCATGTACTAATTGTGGATCAATTCATCAAGTGTTTTATCCTTTTTGATGGCGTTACTACATCCCATAAAGATAATAAAAATGATTTGCGCATGCATATCTTATTATATATAACGAAATTGTAATTGATGATCCACATCTAGTTCTAGGGTCTAATTGTGGATGCAATTTTAACATATTTAAGTTTATTTAAAATCAGTGACAATTAAAAATTAATGATATTAAAAAAAATTGATGAAAATTGAACGTTAGCAATAAAAAAATAGTTAAATTATGAATAGTAACACTTTTTATATATAGACATGTATACTATTTTATAATCTATTTTGATACTTAAAACAAATAAATCTTTTCGGGATGGCATCATTTGTGGCAAGATTTGATAAGTTTTCAAATATTTTTATAATAAATTTATGCAATAAAAGTATACTTTTATTGTTGAGATTAAATATGTCCGCGATAACGATATATCGTTATAACATAGTGATTAAACAACATCCGCGGACATATTTAATTTCAACTGAGCATAACGTTGATTTTTTCAATGAAATCTAATGCTATTTATTACCTACTATAAAAGTTATAAGGCAATTCTTAAATTTACACTTTGAATGAATTTTTAAAGATACATACGTTAGTTAACCTCGTATATTTAATTAGTTAACGACATCAATAAAATGTGTAGCGTCGTTCCTAATAAATTAAATTCAATTGACACTTCAAAGAGATAAAACAAATACTAAAGAATCTTGTGATATGTACTATTTAATGAAAAATACTATAATTATGTAAATATAAAAAGTGATCCGGAATTAGTGTCTGATCCACACATTTAGTGGTTTTACCCTAATATTTTACAGTATTTAATTAGTTACATTACATTAATTACATTATATTAGTCTTATTATATTTTCGGGTACATTTTTTGTGTAATTATAATTACGTTCCTCAGATCATTATAGAATACATTTTAATGAAAGATGTCTTTGTTCCACAAAGCAATTAGATCCTTTTGAGCAGCCTTAGTGGTACGCCTTTGGTCCTTTGTGCGCGTAATTGTGTATACATTTCCTGCACGAAGGCACAACATATCCTGATCTTCGAAGCTATCGTGTAGCTCGGCACGGGAACACGTTTTGTTCGGCCTCATCGCCTGCTCGATAAAGTGGCCATCGGAATTCTCATAAACTCGAAAGCATGCGTCACGCGCGCTTTACGAGGCCGAAAACAATCTCGACAATTCTGGAAAGATGCATCGTCAAGACATACATTTCCGTTTTCTCCCCGAGAAAGTTAATAGAAATTAATTAATCTCGCGATCATATCGTTTACGATTTTACGATTTATGTCACGTCGTTTCTATTTACGCCTACTCCAACAAAGAGTGAATCATTAGAGCGAACTGATTTGCATTTTAATGACCAGTACACATCGATCGAGCGAGCGCGTTGGACCTGAGTAGTATGTACGCTTACATAAATTCGAAGGATTAAACTCTTAGCAATATGGTAGTCATGCGGTAAAACACGTGAATACTTCACAGAAATGTTTTATACCGAAAAAGTCTTTCGCGAATTATAAGCTTTTAAGATAAACGGATAATGAAATCTCGTCTCTCGATTAAAAACCGGTACGAATATAATCCGAAGAATAAATAAATAATTAATTCACCATAGATTATTTGTTAACTTTATTACATAAATAAATTACTAACTGGTTAATTACTTGTGCTTTAATACGAAACAAACGTTTAGTAGCTCTTCTTTATCAAAAAGAAAATTTTATTTTATGCACTGTATTATTCACAAAAAGCGAGAGGAAATTATTTTGATTATTCAGAAATGCTCCTTTATATCGATAAAACTCCTTCCATCTCTTTTTTATTTTTTTTTCTTGTTAGAACAGTATAGCGTAGTGTTTTAGTAAGAGGTAAACGCTCGTGACATTACAGACACCCTGCCGGAGAAGAAAATTCGATATACCGTTTTTCCCGGAGGGATTGATTGGAACCCGAGGCTGCTCTCAAGGGTGATTTTTCGTAGTTTCTTTCCGGACGAATAGAAGCCAAGATTGGAGGTTGAAATGACGATAGTGGTGTTATAGACGATGTTGCCTTTGAAGGTACGTTTTGCTATCGATAACGCTGACTTTGGTGTGCGTTGCTTATCGGAGTCCCACCGGCAGCGATCAATATTTTATCAGTGGGCTTGCGGTCCGGGTACAGTCCCAATTACAATTTTGCATTACATTAATGTCATGTCATGAGATAACCACTTCATCATAATATGATTCTAGACTGAAACCCTTATTGCATTTCAAAAATGGAAAAGAAAATACTCTCTGAAGATTATTAATTTTAAAAGAATAAATTATAGCAACTTTTTAGAATGAGTTTTAAAGTAAAATAAAATAAAATAAACTACGTGTATAGCTAAATAAATAAACAATAAAAAAGTTGAGCATATGCCACACACTAGATCTTGTTAGTGAAATATTATCAATATATTCGCATATAGAATTAAAAGAATTAACAATAATTATGCTAGTTACAATTAATCAAAATATATAAACGTTTCGGCCCTGAATGTGGCCATCTTCAGTATAAATAAATACAGTATATAAAATTATAAAGATATTTGCACATACAGAATAACGGTTACAATTAGTAGATATAATAAAATTTTTTTGTTGTCAAAGTATAAAATAACTCAATCTAATATTTTTGAGTATTTAGTCGTGTGATGAAATTGTCGATTAATAAGAAAATTCCTCCAATATACAATCTTATTTATAAGGATAATTAACATCAAGTTATAATTGCCAAACTAAAATATATATGCCCAATTAGATATTATCATAACTTTTTTAAAAAACAATATTAAAAACGTGTACAAACTGTAATCTTACCTATATCTTGAAATCTCATATCCTCATTCGATCATGGAAGATTTGTACTTATCCCGTTATTCTTGTCAAAATTATCGTAAAGTATTACCTCAAGTTGAACACTGAGATATATATACCCAGACAAGAAGACCTCCAAATTTAAGGAGAAGGGGAAAAATGTGATGTAAGAAGGAAAAACATTCTAGGGGGGCAAAATTAGGAAAAGCATTTAGAGGAATGAGTGCCAAAAATTATTATTATAACATTAAAATTATGTAATAAAAGAAGGAAAAAACAAAATTATGAAAGAGATTGAATAATAGGTAGATAGATGTCAGGTAATTTTTCTGTATCATTCTGATTGTTCATACCATTTCCCTGCTTTTAGATATGAATCATTTCCGAGATAGATCTTTTATAAAATGAACGTCCTGAATCTAAAATATTAATATTTTCCCAATCTATCTGATGAACATACTGAAGTTGATGACAAGAAACCACGGAATGATTATTAGATTTTCTAATGTCGGCTTTATGTTCTTTGATCCTAGTTTTTAATTTTCTTTTTGTCTGTTATAATGAGAGATTAAATAATGAGAGATTAAATTTTATTTATTCTATTCTAGTTTCTAGAATATTTAGAGTAACATATATCAATTATTGTCTACTCTGAAAATTTCTGAAAATTCTGGTTTCTTTCAAGTAATGAAGCTCTGTGCTACGAACTAAATACTTCGTAAAAGTATTAAAAAATATATTATTCTTGATTTAAAGAAAATTACTTAATCTTCTTTGGAAGCAGTTTTTGTTTGCTAAATAATACTGTATGTTAGAAAATTTATAAAGTCGAAGTATCATCTTAATTTCATTATCATACTTGATTATCCAGCTCACGACAGAAAAAGTAAATAAAATTAGCATACAGACTCTTTACATAGATGTTAATTGATTTACTATTATAGCTATTGACGTACTAATGTACTAACTACTAATATACTACTAATAGTCGGCAATGAAAAAGCATTACCTAACTATACTTTAGGAGAGGGTTCCTTTTGCCTATAAATTGATTGTCTACAGCACCGTTTGTTTGCATCTCATTTGCCTACAGATTGATTGTCTACATGTATTTATGCGCGTACAAATAAAAATTTCAGAAATAAAGTTACATTTGCCTATATATATTATTGCCTACATGTATTATGTATCGATAAGGTACATTCTGAATTCAGCCAATCCATTTTACGCCGAATCCTCTATACTAATGTCCGTTTCGATTAGACGTCGGCTTGCACGATGCGAAAACAAAGTCCGTGTATTTCAGAGATATTTACGTGCAGGAGCTGGTGGATAATTACTATCGATTTCCCGGGCCGCGTTATGTGCAAACTCCTCGCGATGACCTCGCGGTCCACCTGTTGCTAGGCGCAGAATTGTCAGCTTGTTACCTTTTACAATGCTTTGTGTTGTATCGAAGAATCGAGATTGATATAACCGATAGATTTGAGGTAGAGAAAATAAATTTAAGAGTAGTAGGATTTGTATATTATTCATGAGAAAGCGTGCTTAACGTAACAATTACGAAAGAAAGTAGATTTGTAAAAAGAAAGTATATAGTATTGTATTAAAAATAAGATCTATTACATTTTACAGAGCTATGATAGAGAAGTACATGTTGTATTAAAAACTGATTAGTTAAAATAAATTCCAAATAATAAATTTATAGAATTATAAGTATTTTATTCAACAAAATCTCAGGAATTATTTCTTTAAAAGTTCTCTCTTTATTTTTATTTTTGAAATCTTTTCTATCTCTAACATACCTATATTATATTACTAGTCACATATCTATCTTCGGAATGAAAAAAATTTTATATATTTAAATATATCTTTAATTCTCTAAACAAAAAAAATTTTTTTTAATTTTTGGTTGCACTTTGAAAAGAATAAGAAAAATGAAAAAGGAATAGAGGTTAGTGGACATTTTTATAGGTAGGATATTTTTATAGTTAGCAGTTTCTGTCTGAATCATGCAAAGAATTTTTGTTAATGAAGTCGCCTTAATGAGAGCTGTGTGTGTGGACCTGAGAGGATTCAGTAATATTCGCAACCACGAAATGCAGGTCATTAACGACAATGGTTTCGCCGCGAATTAATAGATATTCTGGGTGATGATTAACATTAAGTGCTTTGGTGTTTTCGAGTGTCTTTTATAAAATATATTATGTCAAATAAATTTACGTCTAAATTTAATCAATTGTTATATCTATTTGTCATCTTTGTTATCTATTCTAAAATTAGCATTCTTTATAAATATTATAACAAAAGTAATATAGAAGAATAATAGAAAAAAAATAAAAGAAATAAGACCTGGCTTGGCTCGTAGCTCTATACCTATTACTAATTTTATAAATTATTTGAGCCTTTTTTTAATAGTTATTTAAGATTTATTATTTCATAAGTACTGCAAACAGGATAACTTTCATAAATTGTTTCTAAGAAAACTTTTTATTTTGTACAATTTATGAAAATAATTGAATTAAAAAATTAAGCAAATTTTTATATCTGTTTTTATAGGGAAGTAATAGAAATGATAGGTATACGCTATTCTACCTATCAGGCTGTTAACTTTATTACCTGTCGATCTCTATCTCTATAATACAATCACAATTAGGGCATTCTATCGTTTTTTAAATCATGTAGTTTAGTCGATGTGGAAACCTTTCTTGGTATACTTTCTATGATGTGTATAATAACATAAATTACACTGGTCGACAAAAATTGAACATTTTTTTGGCCTTAAAGTAAATGTTGTTTCTGATAGATTTTGATGCTCTAATTACGAATCTGGCCGCGAAAATGTCGTATCACGTCAAATTCTTGAGATATTCTAACTTAAAAAGTGCAAAAAATGAGGTTTTTGGCCATTTTCAACGACTTATAAAATGTCTAACAATTTTTTTTCAGCATCTAGCCGGATGTCACGTTAAAGTGTTATTCTTACCCTTTCCAATGCATATTCGATTGCTATGATCCAATTTTTTTTCGCTGAAATACAGCAAATTGAATTTTTTATGTTTTTTAACCTTTTGTGTCAGGGTTTTTTGTATGTTTTTGTGACCGATTGTTTTGAAAATTTGTATCCGAGGGTTTTTCGGGTCGCTGATTACGAATCTGAAGATAGATTTTCAAAATTCAAAATGGCCGATCGATAATTATCAGCGACTCCAAAACCCCCGGATACTGCTTTTCGTAAAAATTGAAGAAATTTTGAGATTTTGATCCGCCATATTGGATCGGCCATTTTGAATTTTGAAAATCTATTTTCAGATTCGTAATCAGCGACCCGAAAAACCCTCGGATACAAATTTTCAAAACAATCGGTCACAAAAACATACAAAAAACCCTGACACAAAAGGTTAAAAAACATAAAAAATTCAATTTGCTGTATTTCAGCGAAAAAAAGTTGGATCATAGCAATCGAATATGCGTTGGAAAGGGTAAGAATAACACTTTAACGTGATATCCGGTTGGATGCTGAAAAAAATTATTAGACATTTTATAAGTCGTTGAAAATGGTCAAAAACCTCATTTTTTGCACCTTTAAGTTAGAATATCTCAAAAACTTGACGTGATACGACATTTTCGCGATTCGTAATCAGAGCATCAAAATCTATCAGAAACAACTTCGTTTACTTTAAGGTGGTGTCGACCAGTGTTATTACACCTTCTTCGATCATACCAATATCCTAACTTCTAATTTTTGCAAGTTGTCGCTGCTCGCAGAATTTTTAATGGGCTCTTTTTATTGCGCACATATATTGATTTGACATGTTAATACTGTGAACTTCTGCAATAAAAGACACGATGAGATGAGAGTTATTTATAGGACTCGTATATGTATACAAAATGAACATTCGTATGTATTATAGACGAGATATTCTGAACGACAATCGTAGACTCTTACGTAAGCTGTAAATATTCGCTTTAAGTTAACTCATTGTTAGTAAATATTATTTAATTAAAAATTTATTTAATTAAATGTCAATTACATATATATACAGGGTGTCCGAAAAGTGTGGAAACGGTCGAATATCTCATCGAGATATCTCTCGTCGAGAAATACACATCGGATCAGAAATCTGAAAATATACGTATTCAATGTTTTCAAAACAGCTATCTTTTGACATCTAACATGACCCCCCACCCCCACCCGCTGTGGGTGAAAGAGAGGG